ATAAACCTGTTCCTGATTCTGATTCGTATGATGATAGTGACAATAACAAATGCACAATCCAAACAACATGCTGCTGTATTAAATAATTAACAAATGTAGACCTAATTTGTCTGACTTCCTTTAAATATTCTTTAAAACATACCTCTTTATAGCCACCAACACGTGAGGCTGTCTAGTGCAGCTTTTTAGAACCACACAGCACTGGTGGCATGGTTTGTAGTCCATTAGTTTCAAACCACTTCTTCTTCAACGTTTCCCAGGTTTTCTCCAGACTGAGATTCTTCAACAGATTACTACTCAAACTCTTCCACACTGACATGAAGTTGTGCAGTGCTGCTTTAAAGGACCACAGTGATGGTTTGTTTGTTTGAGCTCATTAATCATATTGTTTATACTTTACATTAAGGCTGCTCCCTGTTGCATTAGACAGACTTTTACCATCAGACAGTCAGTGGTTTTAGTTCATTTCATCACAAGGAAATCTCTCTGATGGATTATCTGCAGTAACTTTTGAACGGCTGCAAGTTGATTCAAATTATTAATGAAATTAAATCTTATCTCAATGTATTTAACATCTGGGATGCTAAAGACCAAGTGGTCCCAAGTTGGTTTTGGTTTCTCCGCCTCCATATTGATTGTTTTGCTTCTCACAGCTCTCTTCAGCGTTGTTTCCAGCAGCAGCTGTTCAGGAAATAAACTGTGATATACACTCTGTATCTGCCTGGCACAAACTTCATCTAGTTAGTGTTAGCATCTAGCTAGTGAACACAGTGGAGCATTTAGCAGCTAAAGAGCCAGATATTACAGGAGTGGTTGGAAACCAAAACAGAGCTTGAAGAGTTTCAACATATGTTCATCGCAAAAATAACCACAAATAAACAGAGAGGTTGACTTATTCAAAATGTACTTAATTTGTAGTTTGTTATTGTCAAAGGGCAATGTCTCTTTGCTCAGCCTTGTTTGAGGCGCAGATGTTTGTAGTACTCTGATGGCCCCTTGCAGAACTGATAGTTCCTTTTTTATTCTGACAAAATCATAAGGGTGGTGAAATGTATCAGTGGAATTATGGTACAGCGTTTTACAGTCATATGTTCTACCAACAATGAACAGTCACTGAAGACCGAAGTGTACGCAAACCATTCACTGTTGCCTTATGAACCCCCCCTCTTCTGGTCTTGACGGATGATAAAGTGTCCCCAAAAAGGTTTCTACCGAAGTGGGCAATTGCCGAGTTGGCAATTTCCTCAAGGAGTTGTGTTTCTGTTAAACCTAACCGACGATAGGTTGGGATGTGTCACGTGTGCCGCAGACGATAGGTTGGACGTGTCATGTGTGCCGGATGTCGCCAATGACGTTATAGGAGCGAAAATTCTGGATCTGCTTGTTAGCACCCCCCCCCTTTTGTTTTCTGACACGTTGTGAGTTCCCTGACACACCGGGGACACATATTTATGTATAAAAGACCCAAAAAGTGCATTTTGCATAATAGGTCCCCTTTAACTTGTGTTTACAGGACCCAGAGAGGACGCCTTCCGAGCGTCATCTTGTTGAACGTCAGAGAACTGAGAATATCTAATATTACTAACCTCTCTAAACATTGAACACATTAGCATCGAGTTGTGTTTAGCAGTGTGTAACAAGCAGTTATCCAGTGATACTGATACTCCCTATGAACACCCAGGAGAGGTGCATTCAATTGTTTTCTTCATGATGGTTCCTCCTGAGCTTTTTATTAATTAAAAGTATCCATCACGGTTGATGGGAATGTCGTGATTACAAACTGTGGCCTGGTTAGAGAAGGTATAAATATATATGAGTGTTTTAGCCTACAGCAGTCTGTGGGTGTTTCTCAATCGCGAGTAAAGCTGCTTCAGAGCCACTATTTCAAGCATACTACATCATCGAGTGCCGCCGAAGTACTGTTCCAATCTCCAGCATACTTGGAAATCTACCGAGCCCGGCGTACTCCGTTTGGAGAAATATCGAGGCTGCACATGAGTAGACTCCGCGGTCTTAAAATCCCCACAATGCTTTGCGCACGGACCAATTTCCCCAAATCTGTGGCGGAAGATGTAAGGCGGGGCCTCTCATATGACGCACACCTGCACACTTGCTAGCGTGTTCCACTCTTCGTTTTCCGAATGCCAGGAAGTATTCTTGACTCGCTTCTGAAGCAAGATGCTCGGCAGACATGTGCTACCAAGCAAGCGTACTCGCGATTGAGAAACACCCTGTGACTGATAACCTTCATCTTGAGAGCTTCATTACACACAGAGGAAGGTGATCCTGTTGAAATGTCTGCCATTGGAGCACACTAACCTCCATCCCATCATTCTTTTCAGAGATAATACTCAGCCTCCGCTAATGAGTTCACATAAATCAGCTGGATCGGGCTAATTTTGGTGATATTACAGAAGAACAGCTTGTAATATAATGGTTGAACCAGCCGCGCGTCTATCAGTATCCATGGCGACAGCTGTTTCCTGTAAATGGAGAGTGGCCGTTCATCCGTCTTTATCTGTTTATTTCTAGCCTTCCTCAGTGTGCCGTGCTGCGTTTACTGCCATCTCGTAAAGTTTGTGAGTGATCTGGGACAAGAGGGGGTAAAATGTGTTACATTTATGAACCAAATTGTTTCCATGGAAACAAAACGTAATATCTCAAAATGGTATTCTGAATGGTTCTTAATAATGTTTTATTTTCGTATAATAAATGGCTGGTAGTAGCATTTCCCTCGATGAGCTGCTAAACAATCTGTCTCATTTAGCAGATTATACAAATCTGGCTTTCACATTTGGTTTGTAATATAAATCCTCACTGCATCAATTCTTGTTTTTGGATTTACTCATTTGAACTTGCCTTAAGATGATCATATCCATACAGTTTTGCTTATTGAGGGATTACTGAATGAGTTGATCAAGAGCCTGTTTGAAACAACCTTTATTATATATTTTTTAGGAATTTTATGAGGCTGTTATATTTTTAACCTGTTAAGCCCGAGAGACCCCGGTACCGGGGCACTGCCGCAACATCTTGCAGGAAACAGTGTCTGAGGGCATGTTCATTTAATAAAACTATGAATGTTTTATATCCATGTAACGGGAAGAAACTCATCTAACTGATAATTTTTTTTTTTTTTTCAAAAGAAAACCCACAATGCTAACACTGAGCCTCTGAATTAGCAACGAGCGAAAAATGCTAACACTTTACTGCACCGAAAATCACTCACAAAACCTTATTATTCATCTTTTCACCACATCCAACACATCGTTTCACATCGTGAGGTGACACAGAATCGATTGACACCGACATTATCACTGAATTATACGTATTTGCGACGTTCTAAGCAAAAACGGACATCAAAACAGGTGACGCTAGGTAGCTAAAAATGCTAACATTTTTACCTTGGCTCTGTAGTCTCTCCAAAGTGGTCTTCAATGGCATTAAAACTATAAAAACGCTGCTGAAGTTAATCCATAGGTTAATCTAATGTGTCTGTGTCCCTTTGAAATGATTTCTGATAATCCATAAGCATTAAAACTACTTTTCCGTTTCCAGATGTCAAAGCTAGAGATAGGTTCACTCTGATGCAAAATTACATGCGCGAAGCCCTCACCTTTTCTCTTCACAACGTGTGTGTGGGGGACTCCCCCTTCGATTCTATTGGCTCTAACGGTCAGAAAGAGGTGTCAACCATCAAAATCGAGCGAGGAGGGCCAGAGATATGGAAAATCCACCCAAATGACCCCAGAAGTGGTTTCTTTTTGCTAAACCTCTCTAAAAAGGTCAAATGTCACTTGTTTCAATCTTGATACAGGGTACTTATTATATGTTGTACTTTGGATTCCTAAAGCTTTTAGTCTACTAACCCATCATCCAAGGGTGATTTTCACTTTAAGTAAAAAAGAATTTTTGGACGGACACTATAATTTACAGTTTTTTACTATGTAAAATCTGAATTTTCTTTAAAATAAAAAACATCTATATTGATTCTGACTTTTCTACATCCAACTCACAGGTTTATCATTACTTTGAGAAAAAAGATTATTAATTTAACCCTTTTAGAAGGGAAGATATGGTAATTTGTTCTGGGAATGTCATTTTCGAGCCTGAGACCTGAAAAACAGGCTCAGGGCTTAACAGGTTAAAGCAGTGCAACGTACTGTGGCAACACTAACTTGAAAGAAAATGCATTAGTTATCCAATTCAAAGTCAAGTACAAAACAGTTCTGCTTTCAGAAAAATAGAAGCTGCATCTTAGGTTGTGTCTAATGGTTTATAGTGCATTTAGTAATATATGTAGTCTCAGTGTGAATATTGTGTGGCAGGAAGCTTTGGCCGGGAGTCAGATAGATTCTTACTATTACCAACATGAAAGAAACACTATTGTTCAGCTGCAGTTTAACCAACAGCTGCTCTTGATGGCTCTGTTCCCCCTGTATAATGTCACTGAGAAAACAACGAGGTAATCTGTAATGGATTTGTTTCTTTCTCATTTGATGGGGTGCTCTTTTCAGTCTGTTATGTATGTGCATGTTTAAAGCCTCGACACAGGAAGATTTAGCAATATGTTTTATAATAATACATTTATTTTTATTCAAGCATGCCTTTCACGATACCCAAGGACACCATACACTTCGATTAATACTCTAAGAGGTTCAAAGCAGCACAACATGATAAAAAAAAACAGGCAAACATGGAGGAGACAATCAAAAAAGACACTAATGATGGGGACAGGTTGTTCAGAGGATGGTGAGCACTACAGTGAGGAGGTTTTTTGTTGGGATCTGACTGTGGTGATTGTGTCAGTAGGATGTGTGTTGTGAGGGACTAAAAGCCTGAGCACCCATGGTGATTTATCCAATGCGACATCAACAAAAAGAAAAAGTCGGGTAGAAACAGGGTATTTAGCCTGGATCAAGGACTTTGAACTCTGCATGGTCAGTGCTATTGTTAGGCTAATAACTCATTTCATATTCATCTCTCTGCTCCTCTCCCAGGATCTCCAGCCCTAGCTCGTGAGCACTCAGGCAGCCCACAGCAGGAGGTGTCAGCCAGCATGAGGAGGAACGACAACTACCTGCCGGTCGCTGGCGAGGAGAAGAACCTGGATGTGGACTTCAACACCACCGCCAGGAGCAACGAGTCCATAGTAAGACCCGACACCGTACTGTTCTACTGGGTCATGATGTGTGGCGTAGAGCAGTGACTTAGGGCCAGTACGGAGGACCAGTAAAATACATTTTTATGAAAAGAGCCAAAAAGGTGCACATTACATTTCATTAGAACACAGAGGAATATTTTCATGGCTTTGTTTCTTGACATAGTTAGCAAAGACCTGCATGTCTCTGATTACTGTGAAAAATGCTCAAATAATAAGCCTGAAAGTATCAAGTTAAAAGCAGTCTAATATTTCTTTGGATTACCGGTTAACATTGGAGTTAGTTGGAAGCCTGGTTAGTCTAATCAAGACGCTGGAGGTTGGCTTGTATGTCGGAATCAAACACAGAGGGGTGGGACAAAGCGTCTGTATTTGACGACCAGGAAATTATCACCACCTGCAGTAACACTTGAAACTGGGGACATGGGCAGACAGAGTTCTAGAATACTCCTCAACTTACTAGGAATAGGAAATAGGAAAACCTCTTGCAGGTAAACCTGTGTGTGTGGCAGGGTTGTGTTTAAAAAATATGACAATAGCAGGGACCTTAAGGTGATACCATTTCCAAAAGAGTATAATTTGACACCTTCTAAACCAATTCTTTTTTACTTCATTTGATACCCATCATGTGATGGAGGCATTCAGTTGCGTGAAAGGTCAACACCACTCCCCAAAGCCATAGTTTAGTTTTGCAGGTGTCTTGACAAGCTAAACTGCAAATACACACACGGCCCTCTCATGAAAACAATTTATTTCTTTGAGTAACAAATATGAAGTGATATTCACAATGTGCTTAGGTGCTTACACAGCAATGCAGGACACAATACAAATGGAGTGATTTCCTGAAGATAACTCAGTGGAATCTTCACTTGCATTGCATCACAGTTGTTCTTGACACGAGCTGTGTTGTGTAATCAGCGCTGATGAAAGGTCAGGTGCACACACAGCATGCCAACACAGGCTCACCTCTGATATGTGATTATGATCGGCTCCACACTGTTACCATGGTGCTGGATATAAGTGATGCTCTATTAAATGCTACATGTATATTGTGAACAGCCCAGTTACAGCATTCCTATTTTATGGAAATGTGGGGACTACTCAAAAGTATGTGGTGCATAAACCATTTCAAAGAGCCAAGACTCAACCATCCATAACTCTAACTTATGCTTTGTCATTGCATTCATAAATAACTTTTGACTCTCTACACGTATGCCAAAAGAACCGCCGTAATTTAGGCTATAGCCAACTGTTTTATATTTGCATAGTGTCCGGGGAACAGGAAGTCATTTGTTTTACAGAACATGTTAACTGACTGAAATGCAACAGGGCTCTTGAATATTGAGCTTGAGCAGCAGTAAAAAGAGCAGCTATGAAAGCGACCACTTGAGCTGAAGGATATTCCTGCAGCTCGGCGCCTCTCCTTCAGCAGACAGCTTTTTCATGGTCACCACAAACAAAGTCCTTTATACTGGAGATCAAGGGTCTAAATGAAACATATGTTCATATTAGCTCAGAGTGAAAGTGTTGCAACCTTTCACATGTTTACATTATTTATAGATTTTTATTGTGAAGATATATTACAGCCAATTGACCTGCTTGTTCTGTGTCACTGCTGCAGCTGTTTTCAAAAGCAAACAGCTGTAAAGACTGCTCACTACCTGCTGAACAGCAAACACACACATATTATCTGCTGAACCTAGTGGAGCATTTAGCAGCTAAAGAGGCAGATATATCCCTCAGGAGTTACACCAGAGAGTGAATATTGGACCCACAGTCATCAGGTGTCCAGAGACATGATATCACATGAATAATAATGTAGATGTGTTGATAGACGATAGATGATATTGTCAAAAAAGTGATTGCAGGTTGAATGATCTATTTAATATTGCATTCCCTTACTCACCACTAAAATGTGTTTTTATAGTCTTCATGTTCTATTCAAGTCTGTTTCATTACAGTTATGCATGGCCTTAAGGGAGGAATTATGAAAATGTGTTGTCTAGACTTAATAATAATGAACTTGACTTCATTTTAATTTGGTATCTTTTGAAAGGTTTGCATAATAATACATAATTGTCTTGAAACATTTTTACAATTCAAATGAATCAGTTTTAAATCTAGGAAAATGTGTTTTATCCAAAAATTAAAAAGTGCACTCAAAGATTGCAGATAAATGGAGACAAACCACAATTGTCTCCCAAACGTCGCCTCTCTGTTCATGGGACACTGAAGCGGCTGTCTATACTGATTCTGTCTGAGAATGTCAAAGCCTCGAGCTGCACAGGAGCAGACAAAGTCATCTGAAGGAAATGTAACTGACCCTTAAATCATTCATCATTTCACATCAGAAACCATAGGACATTCAAATGTGACGCACACAGCTGGGACCGGGACCATGGGAAACGTACCTCAAATATTAGTTTTAGCTTGTTCTAACAATGTGATCACATGATTCCTTCCTTCCTGCAGATCTGCTGTAAGCTAGCTTGCTAACGTACTGTAGATAACCTAGCCATTTTAAATATACTGACAAAACACTTACAATTATAAAACAGACTAACTCTGCCAACAGTGACACTTGTTTAACTGTATAATCTTCGAACATCAACAATCGCTCCAGACCCCGCTTTGTGCGTCCCTTTTTAGTGTCCCCGTTTACGTGGTGTTTTGAGCTTCGGCGTTTTTTCATTTCAGCGTTTGTTTTATACAGTGCTTTAAGTAAAACCCATTTGGCACATATGTTTTTTTTATATTTGACTTGTTTTTGAAAGTGCAGCTCATGTTTCTCCTCATGGAAATATTTTTGGGCATTACATCAGCCACCGTAAGATAAGAATGTACACAATAGAGGAACAAAGAGAACAGCAACATAGGAGTACATGCCATCTGAAACAATACAAAAAGAAACATGTAATGATAAAAAGCATTTGAAATAAATTGTAGTAATCAGGAGTCAGCAGTCAATGATAGTATAAAACAGTCAATACATATGTCAATAGTTTATTCCAAAAATGGTGAGTCATTGCACACACACACACACACACACACACACACACACACACACACACACACACACACACACACACACACACACACACACACACACACACACACACACACACACACACACACATACACACACACACACACACACACACACACACACACACAATCCCCCCAAGACCTGTGCCTGGAGGCCATAATAACAACAACCAGATAATTAAATCAAGTCTTGGGATAACATGCTGAGAAAATATTGTATAATTAGAAACTTTAATTTCAACAGAAAAGCAGCCATGGCCAATTTCACTGCATATGAAATAGGGCTTCAAAGATCATTTGCATAATTGATCATGTGGTCACTCTGGTGGAGCAAGGCACTAATTATATTTTAGGAATTATACTCAGAGGACGTCTTGGTTAAAAATGTACTTCTGCTTTGCAGCAAAATCAAAGCTTTCACTTTTCCTCTAGTGGGATGAGTTATTTCAAAGAGTCGCTTTCTCACTTAGATCTTGTGCTATTCAGCTTTGGAAATACTGAAGAATAAGCCACTTCAAAAACTGTATACACTGAGGCCAGTGGAGTATGACAATGTTACATTTTGTTAACAAGTTTCTATGTAATGTTGTGAGCACCGTAAATGGGATTGTTTTTACCTGTTGTAATGCACAGATATCTCATATCATAACACTTTCTGCATTGCCCTTGCCTATCTGGGTTTGTAATAACTTACTGCACATTTATTATTGGCACTGCGGCCAAAATTGTGATTGAAAGCCTCCAACGTGCAAAAAGACAGCTCCCAGTGCTGCATGCAGCTCACTGCTGCTGCGAAAAACATTATTGACTTGAAAACTGCTGGCTTGTCTCAGCCTTGAGCTTATTGTGTGTGTGTGTGTGTGTGTGTGTGTGTGTGTGTGTGTGTGTGTGTGTGTGTGTGTGTGTGTGTGTGTGTGTGTGTGTGTGTGTGGTGTGTGTGTGTTGTGTGGCTGTGTGTGGCTGTGTACATGTGGAAGCCCAGAGGAGAGGAGAGCCTCATTTCCCGGTGGCTTAGTGAGAAAAGAGTTCCTATTGGTGAATGATGCATACACCACCACATCCTCATGCGCCCTCTGAGGAGCGACCTCTGACCTTTGCTGCTATGACTACTTCCTGTTGAGAGAGGGCTAAAGATGAGTATGTGTGTGGGGATGAGGCAGGGGGCTGCTATATACAGTTTACACACACACATTCACACACAGCAGACCCTCCTGATACTGGTTCTTATCTCCCACACGAACAGTGGGTCGGTGGCTGTAAAAGGAAAAGCTCTTCCACTGTCCACAGTGCCCGCTGTGTCAATATTAGTTTTCAGTTTTATTGTTGATTTATATCGATTTATTGGCCATGCAATTGTCTCTATATCACTAAGTAAACATCCGTGTTGGATATCAGCAGCTTTTAATGCCATGACACATTCCCATGCAATTTGCTGCCTTCAGATTTGCGTATTCTCGTCACTCAAGGAGTTCACCTTTATTTGTACTGCTTTAACGCTGCATGTTAACTGATTAATCAACATAACATTCACATGCATCATTACATTACATGTCACTTGTTAGACGCTTTTATCCAAAGCGACTTACATACTCAATACTGTGGGCAATCCCCACAGGAGCAATTTGGGGTGAAGTGTCTCAGGGACACAACGACATGCTGACTGCAGTGGGGTTTGTACCCCCTGATCCGAACACCAATGCACAACCCAAAAAAATGAAATGGGTCAGTACCTGTAACCACAGCAATGCTATCACTGTACACACATATACCATATACACACCAAGCAGAACCAGAGCAACATCATTCAGTCTAAATATTGTCCAATATTCTTTTTGCTCTGTTTTTGGTCTCCACCAAGTATTAAAAGAAAATCTCTGCCTAATTTGCTATTAAATGCTTGCCTTTGTTCATCAGCTCATTTCTAACTTTGTCTTTCTTAACTTAAA